ATGATGCTGGTGAATATCGGGGTTAGCTTCGACTCCCCATCTACCCCAGTACAAAATGTACGAATATTCCTCTGATACTCAAATTTTTATAGGCAATAGAGGGCTGATTCCTGAAATTATCTCCAGACTTACACTGTGGTACCTTATAAGGTTTGAGGAAATTGACATTCATCCTCCGTTGAGTTAAACATGATTTGTACATGTTTAATTACATTTATAGCAGCAATGTCCACAAAAGCCAAACTGTGGAAGAAGCCTCGGTGTCCATTGAAAGATGAATGGATAAAGAAGATGTGATATATATATATATATATATATATATATATATAATTTTACTCAGCCATTAGAAACGACAAATACCCACCATTTGCTTCGATGTGGATGGAACTGGAGGGTATTATGCTGAGTGAAGTAAGTCAATTGGAGAAGGACAAACATTATATGGTCTCATTCATTTGGGGAATATAAAAAATAGTGAAAGGGAATAAAGGGGAAAGGAGAAAAAAATGAGTGGGAAATATCAGAAAGGGATACAGAACATGAGAGACTCCTAACTCTGGGAACCGAACAAGGGGTGGTAGAAAGGGAGGTGGGCGGGGGGTGGGGGTGACTGGATGACGGGCACTGAGGGGGGCACTTGATGGGATGAGCACTGGGTATTATGCTATATGTTGGCAAATTGAACTCCAATAAAAAATAAAAATAAAAATAAAAATAAAAATAAAAATAAAAATAAAAATAAAAATAAAAATAAAAATAAAAATAAAAATAAAAATAAAAATAAAAATAAAAAAAGAGCTCTGGTCATCCTGGCCAAAGGAGCAGAGGAGATGGAGACAGTCATTCCTATAGATGTCATGAGATGAGATGGAATTAAAGTCACCATTGCGGGTCTGGCTGGGAAAGACAGCGTAGCCGAGAAGTCATTTGTCCTGATGCCAGTCTGGAAGATGCAAAAAAAGAAGGACCAGAATGTATGTGAGTCCGCTGCGGAAAAGGAGATAATGAAAGAGCAAGAAGACAGGAAGGGCCTCATAGCCGCCATCTGTGCAGGTCCTACAGCTCTTTGGGCTCATGAAATAGGTTTTGGAAGCAAAGTTACAACACACCCACTTGCAAAGGACAAAATGGTGAATTGAAGTCATTACAGCTACTCCGATAACCGCATGGCGAAGGACGGCCTGGTCCTCACCAGCCGGGGGCCTGCAACCAGCTTTGCGTTTGCGCTTGCGATTGTCCAGGCGCTGAGCTGCAAGCATGTGGCTGACCAAGTGAAGGCCACGCTCGTCCTTAAGGATTAAAGCAGAAATCTTTGATGACGAGGTAGAGAAATGGGATGTTTGTAATCCTTCTCACCGTGTCCACTTTAAGCAAAATGGGCAATTCCCCCGCAGTCTGGCTGCCAAGTGGCCGCCTCACCGAGCTTCCAGGCCCGCGCCTAGGTCTTCACGGTCCTGAGCCTTGATGGCAGAGTAAATGGCAGTTAGCAAACTGCTGGTTGTTACTTCGTTTGTCTCTCAATTCTCCCTTTTGTGTGTGTGTGTGACCAAATTCACTATCAGCTTCACCTGCAGCTGTTAAGTGTTGATACAGCCACTGAGATAAAAGAGCAGTGAACACATTTGACACAGCAAGGAGGAAAAGCATAAAAAAAAGATTTAAGGAGCTTGTGATTTTTCCTCCCATTTGTTAACTGTATATTGTTAGTGTGCTACTACAAAACCAGTGGAGAGAAGGGCACTTGACGGGATGAGCCCTGGAGGTTATCGAACTCCAATAAAAAAAATATATACACAAAAATACCAGTGGGAAAAATGTTTTTAAAAAACTTATGGAGGAAAGACCCTGTGGCCATAATAATACATATAGTGCTGTGGGACAGCATTTTATTTTTTAAATTTCAAAAAAAAAATTTTATTGGAGTTCAATTAGCCAACATATAGCATAACACCGAGTGTTCATCCTGCCAAGTGCCCCCCACTCAGTGCCCATCACCCAGTCACCTGAACCCCCCACCCACCTCCCCTTCCACTCGTTCATTTCCCAGAGTTAGGTGTCTCTCATGTTTTGTCACCCTCACTGATATTTTCACTCATTTTCTGTCCTTTCCCTTTATTCCCTTTCACTAATTTTCACATTCCCCAAATGAATGAGACCATATAATGTTTGTCCTTCTCTGATTGACTTATTTCACTCAGCATAATACCCTCCAGTTCCATCCACATTGAAGCAAATGGTGGGTATTTGTCGTATCTAATGGCTGACTAATAGAAGATGTGGTATATATATACAATGGAATATTACTCATCCTCAAATTTCTTGAAATTTCTCTGGACTCTCTGAAATTCAGCTTCTTCATAGAACTACCTCCTTGGCATTCTTCTTGAGATACTTGAAGATATCTACCACTATTTGCTGTATCAGCCTGGAACCCTCCTCCCTCCCCCAGTGATCATGGCTATCAATCTATGAATGTTTTTCTCTAGCATTCAAAAATATTATGCTGTGTTCTGGTGACTCACTATAGCTTTATAGAGCCCACAGAACTTAGCTTATCTTCTTGTGCACAGAAGAATCACGAAAACATTTCATGTGATCAGACAGGTGTGTTCATCATTCCAATGTGAATACTTAGCCATTTTACATCCATTATTGTGGGCTTTTCTATGACCCTTGGCTCCAGCCAACCTCACTCATAAGGTTTTATTTTTGTAGAAAATATTTTCACTTAGTAATGTGGGCAAGTTGATATCCATTATGTACAATATGTGTAAACAGTGTGAGCATGAAGCAAACTGAAGTGTAATGCAGGGACTATACATCCTCTTGCCTGGGTGCACAGATAGCTTAAACATTTTTGCATGCACAAGTCCTCAGACTATTTTTAAAAGATTTTATATATTTATTCATGAGAGACACACAGAGAGAGGCAGAGACATAGGCAGAGGGAGAAGGAGGCTCCTTGCAGGGAGCAGATGTGGGACTCGATCCTGGGACAGGTATCATGCCCTGAGCCTAACGTAGATGCTCAACTGCTGAGCCATCCAGGAGGCCCTCCTTAGACTTTTTTTTTTTTTAATCTGGAGAGGTAGGATACAGATAAAGTCAACCTGTCACTTTTAACCTCTCCATTGTGTCCACACATGGCTTTTGTTTTTCCTCCATCAGTGTGATGGAACTTCCCTGTTATAAGCCTGGACTGCCACAAAGCTCTGTTACCTGTGGGTTATTGTCTAAATGAGTGTTCTCCAGTGGCTCCTGGTCTGTGGCTGAGGGAGGATAGAGCCAGTTCTCAGGCCACTTCAGTGTCCCCTGCCAAGGCTGAGATCTCCATGAAAGGATCCAACCCATGGGTGAGATTCCTCCTGGGTCCCTTGGCATATGGTGCTGGATCTGCAGCTTCCTCAAAGGTACTTTTGTCTGTGGGTGGATGCCAAAATCTTGCGCTGCTGAGAGGAAGGATCCAAGCAGTGAGGTCTTCTTATTCAGCCATCTTACTAATGTCACCGCCAAACACTACCTTAATGAAATTGAATGATATAGAATTACTGAATCTACAAATATTGTAAATGCAGTATAATTTAAAAATGAAAGATGAAGGGATCCTTGGGTGGCTCAGAGGTTTAGCGCCTGACATTGGCTCAGGGTATGATCCTGGAGTCCCGGGAAGGAGTCCTGCATCAGGCTCCCTGCACGGAGCCTGCTTCTCCCTATGCCTGTGTCTCTGCATCTCTTTCTCTCTGTGTCTCAAATAAATAAATAAATAAATAAATAGATAAATAAATAAATAAATAAATAAATAAATAAAATCTTTTAAAAAGAATGAATGGTGCTGCTATCATTTAGGAGCTAATTCTTATGAAACAGAAAATGTTGTGATAATTTAGGCTTAGAAAAAAATTGTTCGACTTTGAATTCTGTAACCAATTTTTTAAAGTCTGTGGTGATTTTTAAGTTTTAATAAACTTACATGCATTGACATTCTCTTTTATTTTATTTTATTTTTGTTAAGATTTCAATTTTATTTTATTTTTTAATAAATTTATTTTTTATTGGTGTTCAATTTGCCAACATATAGCATAACACCCAAGGCTCATGCAATCAAGTGCCCCCCTCAGGGCCCGTGACCCAGTCACCCTAACCCCCCGCCCACCTCCCCTTTCCACGACCCCTTGTTTGGTTCCCAGGAGTCTCTCATGTTCTGTCTTCTCTCTGATATTTCCCACTCATTTTCTCTCCTTTCCCCATCATTCCCTTTCACTATTTTTTATATTCCCAAAATGAATGAGACCATATAATGTTTGTCCTTCTCTGATTGACTTATTTCACTCAGCATAATACCCTCCAGTTCCATACACATTGAAGCAAATGCTGGGTATGTGTCGTTTCTAATGGCTGAGTAATATTCCACTGTATACATAGACCAGGTCTTCTTTATCCATTCATCTTTCTATGGACACCGAGGCTCCTTCCACAATTTGGCTATTGTGACATTGCTGCTATGAACATCGGGGTGTAGGTGTCTCAGTGTTTCACTGCTGGACTGACATTCTTAAATGGCTTTTAAAATTTACTAAAACTCTCAAACAGTAAAGATGTATGATTTTTTTTATTGAAAGGACAATTTTAAAGCTATCTTTCTATGAAAACAAATGACACTATTACCTATCTAGGTTGGATAGCTGATTATATCTCCTTCATTTTCTTTGTACTTCTGTATTTTTCAAATTTCTAAAAATAGAAATGATTAAATATGAAGAATTCATTTCTGCAGTGAGCAGAGTAGAAAACATAAGAAATAGGAAGTACCTCAGGAGACAACAGGGTCCAACCAAGGAGTGGTGCCTGGAATAGATGAGACAGAACCAGATGGGGCAGTGAGAGACCAGTCACATGTTCTCCAAACTCCACACCCCAAAGCCCTTCGCTACCCCCTGCAGGACCTGGTAAAATACTGGGTCTGCTGCCAGGCTCACATTCAGACATCCAGAGTTAACATCATGAAGTGGTTGGTTTTCCAGCTGGTGACACTCTACTGCCTGGTCATCATGCCAGTGACAGGAAATATGAAAGAAAAAACTAAGAAAATAACTCGTCGTCCAAATTTCAGTAGGTATTTTTGTGGAGCTTCAAACTGAAGAGGGGCTAGAAAACAAAAAGGAACCAGGCACTGGCATATGTGAAACTCTTGGTTCCTTTTTTAAGCCAGGATACCAGAGGAAAGCTGAATGTGCAGTTCTCAAGTTTGAGGGACTCCTGATGTGACAAGTAATGATGTTTTTCTGTATGTGTGGGGACTATGGTGTTTTTGTTGAGGAGGACCTGTAGTGGTGGAAAGCTGCACAGGATTCAAAGCCTGCATATAGAATGCCTAGCTTGAACCACCAGGAATTGGTGTCCTCCACTTAGGAGTTCCAAGGATGAGCACCAAATTGGGCAAGGGAGACTAATTATCTCTTGAAATATGCCCTTTGTTTACCAAATTGAGTATTTTAGAACATTGGGTGTGGGGAGAGAACTAAAATGGGTGATTGACCAAGAGAAGTTTGGAATGACTGGGGTAAAAGAAATCAGCAGAATTGAGGGGAGAGGAGTGGGTCCATACTGGCTGGCAAAGGTTTCTGAGGAATAGCCAGGTTTGGAGGGTTGTCTCAGCCAGACAAGGAAAAGCAAGGGACGGTTCTTCCTCTCCTCTGGGACCCTGTTCCTCTCACTCTGTAAAATGAGAGCAGGAGACCAGTAGATCTCTTGAGCCTCTTTGTTCTGCGAACTGGGTTTCAGGACTCAGGTCATGTGTTGTTGAATTCCATGGAGGTGGCCTCATGGTTGCTGGGTTTGTTAGGGGGTAGGAGCTGGATTTTGACTCTTGGAATGGAAAAGGCCTCCCAGATCCCTGAGCAGGGAAAAGAAGAAGAGAAACCTATGGAGGTGGTGCTGGGGCCTTAGAGGGGCTGATAATAGTGAGAAAAACTCTTCTTCTTGGAGTCACTGCTCATGTATTCCTTCTCAGTTTTAGTAAAACCGAAAGGGCGAGATTGCTCGAGGTCACCTACCAACTACGAGTGCCAAAGAAAGTGCCAATATTCCTGGGATTGTGTTGCTGGCTATGAATGCTGCTTTGCTGCCTGTGGAAGTATTTGCTTGAATATCCGACAAATTGGTAGGGTTAAGAATCACTTCCTCTTGCCACTCGGTTGTTAAACCTATAGAACCACTATTGTAGGGGAAAGACAGAGAGAGACTATACCTCCTCAGTCCCAGGACCCATTCCAACTGGGGATCCCCACCCCTTCCCTCAGCCCAAGCCCCCATTGTCTGCTTGTAGGCCTGCCTGATTTATTCAAAACTCAGGAGATCTAACATTAATGTCCCTTTGCTCACTAGACTCGAAAAAACCCAAGGGAAGCCTTGTGTGGGCATCCCCTAAACCACATTAAATATCCCTGCCCCCAGGGTTTGGGAGGATCTGTTACTCTCAAAGAAATATGTTTCAGCAAACTGTGTGGTCACTGAATACCTACTACCCCTTCTCTCTTTCAGAGACCCATAAGGACACTACACCCAGAACCGAGGCTGTAACTACTTTGTATCCCCCAACCACCATTTGGAATTAGGACCTATAGACACCTACAAGGTGTCAGGCTAATTCTACATGATGTCCAGTGGTATCATCGTCTTATCCCAGCTGGGAGGCGGCAGGGAGGGGAGTGGATGGGTCCCAGGGCAATGTCTCTCCTACTTGCCAACCCTCTTCCCTGAACCATTGTATATCAGCCTCTTTTCCCTGAAAAATAAACAGTGGCATTAACCCAGAACCTCTGTCTCTTCTTCTATAGTACCACTACCTTTAGCTCCCTCCATTTAGTACCTAAGTTTCCAACGCCTGCCTCCCAGTGGATTTCTCTACCCTCTCACCATTCAGAAGTCTGAACTCCTTAGCCAAGACTCCTGGACTCTCTTTGTTCATAGACTACCATCTCTGAGGAAAACGGCTTATGTGTGGGATCTTCTTATAGCTACAGGAAGCACCATCCCTCTGAGTTCTCCAGACTTTCCTTATGCAGCTTATCTTTTCTTTTCAGGCCTGTGATTCTAGTAGGTTCCCACAAGTGGACTCCCTTTGAACTAATCCAGGGAAGTACAATAAATCTCACAGGTGACAGCACCCATGGTCTAGAATGGATAGGAAATACCATTGGCTTCTCTAAGCTCTCCTCTCCAACAATGCCTTATTTGTTGGCATCGTTTACTCAATCACTTGGAAACTATAGGAATATCTTCAAGTGCAAATACTCTTAAAAAAATAAACAAACTTTAGAAGGTTATAGAGAGCGTACAATGTGTCCAGACTTGAGGGAAGAACCACTCCTCAAGAGTCGAGGTGTGACTAACTCTCTGTTGGCATACAGCCCAGGGAAGGGTTAAGTCTTATGATCCAAAGTAGCAGAAACCAGGATGGGGCATGGAAAAAAGCATGTATGGGGTATACACTCAGTACCTTAAGATATAAATGCAGAGAGGTCATTATGTGCATCATAGTATCAGGTTTACTGGAAGAAGAGATACTTAGTCCTAAACTTGGAGGATAGGGAGGAATTGGGGCAACTCAAATGAAAGTTAATTTTCCTCCATGACAGTATTAAATATAGAGTGGAAGGAGAAGAAAGGGAACTTGAGGATATGAAAGGTTGATTCCCTCCCTACTTCCTGTCCCCAAACCAACAGATGAAGTTGTGGACAAGATTGGATTATGAATCTGGCATTAAGCTCTATGACCCCAGCATATTGGAACTTGCCAACTCTTCCTTTTTGGTCTCTGTCATTATATCCATGAAACCTGCAACACGCAGGTATTACTTGCTAAAATCAACAAAGGAAAACCAATAGGCACAATAGGTGGCTGAACCTACTCAAGTCCTCTCAGCAGGTTGATGACAAAGAGATGTGTAGACCTCATTCTCTACATGCCCCTGTACTTGAGTTTCCTGAAATGCATATATGTCAGGGGCCAGAGATGTGCTTAAAATAGGAGATCTGGTGGCGAATAGGGTTGGAAAGGGGCACTGTGCAGAGAGTGATAGTTGAGACGGGCGAAGGAGGACAGGTCCATAGTGTTCTCCTGGACTAGCAGGGGGTGATTGCCTTAGGACAAAACCAATGAACTGTTTCCTGCTAAGCAATTAGAAAAAAGAAGCAGTTGATACAGACTCTGGAGCCACCAGGCAGATAGGACACTCTTAACCAGTGGGTACACTAAGGAACACACTGAGCCTTTGCTATGGGGTGTCTCACTTCAAAGCCAGAGGTAACCTGCCCTGGAAACAGAATTGGGAGTATCCAAATATGGGGCCAGGAGAACCCCAGGAGATCTCATTTTGCATTCTTGGAAGGATTGGTCCCAAGTCAACTGGCCTGCCATTGCCAGAAGCATAACTGACCAGCAGACAATTTTAACACACTTCCCAGTAACCAATAGAGTAGGAAGACAAAACAAACAAAATACAACAAACCCAGGAATGATCTAGAAGATTTGAACAACACAATAACAAGCACTGACATGTATCAAAATGAATTACTAGAGAATATACATTCTTAAAAAAGCAAATGGAGGGGATCCCTGGGTGGCGCAGCGGTTTGGCGCCTGCCTTTGGCCCAGGGCGCGATCCTGGAGACCCGGGATCGAATCCCACATCGGGCTCCCAGTGCATGGAGCCTGCTTCTCCCTCTGCCTGTGTCTCTGCCTCTCTCTCTCTCTCTCTCTCTCTCTCTCTCTCTCTCTGTGACTATCATAAAAAAAAAAGCAAATGGAACATTTTTTAAAAAGTCTCAGCAAATGTCAAGAAAATGAAATCAAACATACCACAGTGGGAAAAAAAAACTAGAAATAAGTAAGGTAAAATTGATAGAAAAAATTTCCAAATGGGTAAAAGTTAAGGAAAGCAGTGCACCAGGGTGGTTCAATCAACTAATAGTCTGCCTTTGGCAAGGGTCATGATCCTGGGGTCCTGGGATTGAGCCCCATGTTGGGCTTCCTGCTAAGTAGGGAATCTGCTTCACCCTCTCCCCTCGCCCCTCCCCCCACTCATGGTCTCTCTATCCTTCTCTCTCTCTCTCTCTCTCTGCTCCATTTCTCTCTCGAAGAAATAAAATCTAAATAAAATTAAACAAGCAATTCTAAGGAGTCATAGGTCAAAATGAAATCATGATAGAAAATAAAAAATATTTGGAACTGAAAAATGAACATGACATCTCAAAACATATGCATACAGAATGATGTCCAGCAAGTGGCAACACATGAGACCCTAACCTCTGTCCCTCCACATAGATCAATAATTACACAGCTGTCCGTGAACAAAAACAGTTCTGCAGTAGCAGACACACAGTGGAAGTGATTGTGGCAAATGGTGTCCTGTCCTACAAACCAACCCAGCATATTTGCCATTGAAGAAACCAATGGCCAGCATGGCATCCGTAGACCTCAAAGCAGATTTCAGTAGCTTTTGCCACTCTCACTGTCACCGGCCACTTGAGTCTCTTCCCACTCCTTAGCCTCTGCCCACATGGAGCTCAGGAACTGCACCAGTAGCCGACCCAGGCCTCTGTAGCTGTGCAATTGCAAGATGCCTGTCAAGACCCCCGTGACTGACACCACCAAAGTGAAGTGTACATGCTTGGGGCTGGCCTACCTGTGACAGGCCTTCACTGCAGTACACATGCCCTGGGAAAATGTGAAGCCACAGGAGGCCTTCACGTGCTGACCTGCAGAGCCACTGCTGCCACTTACGGTCCTAGATCAGGCCCTGTCTTCAGTCACTGGCCTGTACCACAGCACTCATCTACAGACAGTCCATCCTGCTACCCACCTGCACTCCCCTGGTCCCACCCCCACCACAGGCCTTCCCTGCCAGGTGTTGGCAATCTAATGCACAGCATTCTGACTATAGTTAATACTAGTGTATTGCATACTTGCAAGTTGCTGAGAGAGCAAGTCTTCAGTGATCATCAAAGTTTCTTGATCTACAGTCTTATGTCTCCCAACATATTTAGGAATTTTCAGTCATTATTTCCTCAAATATTTTTTCAGCATCAGAACTTTGGTTGTTGCCCCTTAGGTTCTGTATATTTTTGGTATGTTCTTCTTTTTTTTTTTCTTTGTTGTTCAAATTGGATACTTTCCATGCAGCAGTCTTCAAGTTGGTTGCTCCTATCTCTGCCCTGTGGATTCTGATATTAAGCCCATTCAGTGAGCATTAAATCTCAGTTACCATGCTCATTTCAAATTTCCATTTTCTTCTTCTTTAGGTCTTCCATTTCTTTGCCGAGACTTTCTATTTTTCCATCTTTCAAGGGTGTTTTGATTACTTGTTTCAGAATTTTTATAATAGTTGCTTTAACACTTTTTAAAGAAGATTTCAACATTTATTTCATCATGAAACTGGAGTCTGTTGGTTGCCTTTTGCCATAGGAGTTGGTATTTTCCTTTTCTTTCATATATTCCAAAATTTTGGATTATATCCTGGACATTTTTAAACATATTTTATTTATTTATTCATGAGAGACACACAGAGAGATGCAGAGCCATAGGCAGAGGGAGAAGCAGGCTCTCCAGAGGGAGCTTGATGTGGGACTTGAACTTGGACCCGGATCAAGCCCTAAGATGAAAGCAGATGCTCAACCACTGAGCCACTCAGGTGTCCCTATCCTGGACATTTTGAGTGTTTTAAGAGTCTGAGTCTTGTTCACACTGAACGGAGAAGGTAATACTGTGTTTTCAAAAGTAATTCAAATAGTTAAGTGTAGAGTGAGTTCAACCTGTCTTGGGTGAGTTGTGTTCCTATGTCAGTTCAGTTGTTCAAAGCCTCTGTTTGCAGTTCGTTTGGTGCCTCCCTGAATATGCACCACCACATGGCTAGTCCGGGATCTAGGTGGTGGTGTACCTATCTGCTGGTTCATTTCTCGAAGTATGTCAGTTAGGATCACATCCATGCATGCAATGGCTTAGAGGTGAACCCAGAAATAAATAAACAACTATATGTGTTTGCTTTCTCAAGTTCTTGTTGGTCATCTCCCCCCGTGCCTTCTATTTCCCCTCAGCTCCAAACAGCTTAGGCTTTGGTTATCCTGCTCTACTAGGCCCTTCCACAACTACATCCATATCCAGAGCCAGTTGGTGAGAGAACAAAGAGAGAAAAGATAAACAGGGACAATGGTGGCCACCTGCTCCATAAAATTACAGCTGCACCCAACAGAGGAAGATTTCCCCTCTCTCAGAGTCTTGGCTCCTTCCCATCCTGATCACCACTCTTTTTCTTAGGGACTAGGACATAGAAGAAAAATTAAGGGGCATTCAGCAGGCTTGGTAGAGCATGCAACTTTTGATGTCAGGCTGTGAGTTTGAGCCCCGTGTTGGGTGTAGAGATTATGTAAAAATAAAATATTTGAAAAAAGAATGAGGAGGGAGAAGTGGAGGAGGAGGAAAGGGAAGAATTAAGAGAAAGAGAAAAAAAACCAGGTGATTTCTGCACCTCTTCTGGGCATTACAAGTTCTCTTTTCTATGTCTCAAGCCAACTTTAGAAAGCTTCTCCCGTCATTCTACCTGTGCCCTAGTGCTTA